TGGCTTTTCTCTGCTCTTAGTGCAAGTGCCAATTTTTCATAAGTAGCACCCAAAAAATAAATCTGCGTTTTGTTGTTGAATGAGTGTCACTAACATTTCCTGATATTACCAGTACTTGAAGTGGTGACAAGTATTTTGATTTTTCGGGATACATTACTAGAAGACTGTCAGCCTACACACATTATTCTTATCTGACTCATTTCTTCTGTCTAGTTGAGGCACGCTGAGGCTCAGTGTGTGAGGCTGTATTAAGAGTGATACTTCACATATAAAGAGTTTAGTTGGTGGTTTCTCTTTTACTCCTAAAGCAAAAATGCAGCAGCAAATGTGTAGAGAATGGATTAAACAGTGCGTTTGTCTGCTTTAGCTTCAATTACTTCCAATGCCAGTGACATTTCATACTACATTATTTTGTGGGGTTACATTTAAAACATCTCTGGTGTATATACTGTGTATAACTGCCTCACTGTGTGAAAGCTGGGTCCTTGATTCTACTATATCAGAGTGTAGGCAAACTGGGGAAGTCACTCTTACGTTCCTAGGGTCCTGTTTCCCCAGATTTATATGGCATATAATGGGGACATGACAAAGGGTCATATGTTCCCCAGTTCTACATATTTTTATGTATTTATGTATTTTTCCAAGATCCCATGTTTCCAAGATCCTGTGTTTCAAGGGTGCTATGCGAAGTTTCCAAGATCCTGTGTTTTCAAGATCCTATGTTTCTAAGGTCCTGTGTTTCAACGGTGCTATGCTATGTCTCCAAGGTCCTATGTTTCCAGGATCCTATGTTTCAAAGATTCTATGTTTCATGGGTGCTATGCTATGTTTCCAAGATCCTATGTTTCTCAGATCCTATGTTTCCAAGATACTGTCTTTCCAAGATCCTTTGTTTCCAAGACACTGTCTTCTCAAGATCCTTTGTTTCCAAGATCTTATGTTTCCAAGGTCCTTTGTTTCCAAGATCCTATGTTTCCAAGATCCTATGTTTCCAAGATCCTTTGTTTCCAAGATCCTATGTTTCCAAGGTCCTATGTTTCAAGGGTGCTATACTATGTTCTCAAGATCCTTTGTTTCCAAGAGCCTATGTTTCAAGGGTGCTATGCTATGTTCCCAAGATCCCTTGTTTTCAAGAGCCTATGTTTCCAAGGTCATATGCTTCAAGGGTGCTATGCTATGTTTCCAAGATCCTGTGTTTCCACGGTCCTATGTTTCCAAGGTCCTTTGTTTCCAAGGTCCTATGTTTCCAAGGTCCTGTTTCCAAGATCCTTTGTTTCCAAGGTCCTATGTTTCCAAGGTCCTGTTTCCAAGATCCTTTGTTTCCAAGAGCCTATGTTTCCAAGATCCCATGTTTCCAAGGTCCTATGTTTCCAAGAGCCTGTTCCCAAGATCATATGTTCTCAGGGTCATATGTTCTCTAGCTCTATAGTAAATGATAGAAGCCTGAAGAAGTTAGTTCCCATAAGTTTTCCATCTGAGAAATATGAAATGCAATCACAAATAAAACAAAAACCACAGTATTCAGCGCTGTATAGCAGTTTATTCATTTCTGGCATGTTTTTAAATATATTTTATTCATTTATTTATATATTTTACATCATTTTTTTATTTGATTTTCATGTCTTTCATACATATACGGCTGAATGAGGACCCAAAGAAAAAAATGTGTTAAATTCTGAAGGCTAAATAAAAAAAACAAGCAGGTGAATTTGTGAGTAAACAATACAAAATGATGACATATACTACACATTAATTTGTCTAAATGTCGAGTTAATGTCAGTGGAGTTAGCCATGCACAGTTCATCCAATTCAATTCATGACTCACGTGAGCCAGTCCCACTTTGTCCCCAGCTCCGCCATGAATCACGAGCCAACACAAACACTTTGCTTTTCAAATAAATCTACATCTCTCTCAGAAGCAGTTACATTTGTCGCGCTGTATCTAGGAGCCAATGCTACATGTTAAATCTGTCAAACAGCTGCTCGAGCCCCCACGAGAGCAAATGCATGATTGAACTTGTCAAATGGCTTGAGACATCATGAACAGCATTCATCCATAATTACTTTCTGCCCATTCTTGTCTGGGTAATACTGTGTCTTGAAATATCCCTGAGCCGCAGCGCTTCTACATTAGCTTTCAAAACCACTTGATGGCTGTCTCCATAATGGGTACATCATCTCATCATATGCTCTGTTATTGAAAAGCAACACTGATGGCACAACAGAAACCAATCATTGGCAATGTCTGTAAACATACTGTCATGTTTTGATGCAACACGGACCTCTTTGACATCCAGAGATGTTGTCTTTGCTAGAATTAAATGAAAAGGCGACAAAATAATCTGCAGGTTTTCTGCTAGTACTCACTGCCTGCTCTTTACCAAAGCTCACATCTCCACCAGTGTAAATGTCAACAAGGCAAAAAGGGACACAACAAACTGAAAATAAAATGATTCTCAGATGAATTGTTGCATCCTCGGTAGCTACTAATTAGGAGTCCAAATAAACCAATCACACATTATTGCATGCACACAGAGCTGCCTGTTGAATGGCAGCATTAAAATCTAACCTCTCTAGCACTCTGCATTTTTCAGACTTCAATCTACTATAAAAAAAGTCAATAGACTGATTTGATATGTAGACATTATTTACATTTTTTTTTCCAGTAAGGCATGCCATTATTCAAAACTTTCAGTCAGCGAGGGCTGTGATTCCTTTATTAGCGGGTTACAGTCTCTGTGTCACAGCTGAACTTGTTGCCATGACGATAATACTGCATACTGAGTGAGGAGGAGGAGGAAAAAAAAAACTTATGTCACTGAACAATTTCTGAGAATAGTTTGCCAAGTTTTGATGTGAAGTTCTCCGGTTACCTTTGCACCGCAGAGCAAACAACGAAGATCCTTCACAGCGGAGGGAGTTATCGTACGCTCACAGCACAAATACAAGCTTCTTCTCGAGGGCTCAAATATGAGGCAATGAGATACTGAGCTTCTGAAATGAGTTCAAAGCTTGTGGTTGTACATCACGCTTAGTAGAACTATGAAAAAACTCAACAGAAATTAAAGTCTGTGAACAGATAGAAAGATTTGTTGATGTAGAAAAAGGCGAGAATCTGAACACAAAATGTGTCAGAGGTGGAGGATGTAGGCTACTACAGTTTAACTTAAGTAAAAATAGAATTATCTCAGTACTGCTAAAGTACAAAAGTATTAGCACCACAATATACTTAAATTACTTATTTAAAAAAGTGCTGTGCAGAATGAGCCATTTCAGAATACTGTGTAATATACTGGATTATAAATAAGGCATTCATGTACACATTACTATTGTAGCTGGTAAAGGTGGAGCTAATTTTAATTAGGAAGTACAGAAAACGAGACTTTTGCACCTCCTCTTGGCTCCCTTTCAGGCTTTAGAAAATCTAGTCCGTGACAGGAGACTTTGGCCGATAACAGGTCATCTCAGAGAAAGGGTGTTCCTACTGGGGAAACCCTGATTCAATGGCGGAGAATCCTGCGGAGAAAGTTGCTACTCCAGCATTGGCAACAACTGCCTACGCTGCAGAGCAACCCGAGAAAGGAAGACAGACTTATCGAAAAGAGAGTCTCATAATAAACTAAATAAAATGTGTCAAAGTTGGCAAAGCGTTTCAGAGATGGACTAAAATGTTGCTAATAGTTTAGTCTTCTGCTAACAGGAGCCAAAGGCTCACAGCTGCAGCTTCAAGTTCATATTTAAGCTAACGTTAGCTAACGTTAGAGTCTCGAATCATTGTGTGTGTCCACCGCCTCACTCTGACAGACCACCTTGCCAGGAGGAGAGCAGGCAGCAGCTCTGGAGACCAGACAGCCCTGACTCCCTGCCAGATCACCAAACTTTCTGTTGCTGCCATTACACAGGTTAAACCAGGCACTGCCAATGTCAACCAGCCAGAAGGTTTGTTTCCTGAGCTGCTGCCCACTCTCCTCCCAGCAAGCAGTCCCCAACGCAAATATTTTCTACAAAGTCCCAATTTTTCTTGTAGTTTTTTTTTCACAGGTTTGATATACAACCACAGACTTATAAATTATTTCAAGTCCAAGTCTTAATGAGTCGTATTTGAGCCCAGATATTCCCACACAGTTAGTGTCAGTTTCATGCCAGACACATTGCGAGAAATCCAATTTTATCCCATTTTGAGAAGTTCTCAACTAGAAATGGGTAAATGCAGTAACAACCAGATGTTAATGGAATTGTTTTCAAGTGTTTGAGCCTGACAAGAGGAGAAGTTGTCAGATTTTTACAGTCAGCTTCTCCTGTGTCAAGATTCAACAAGACAGCACTCAACCCTCTGGCACCTAACAACAGCAAACCATGAAAACTGAAAAAGTACTATTTGACTCAAGTTGGTATACTTCACGGGCATATGTTGCATTCATAGAAAAAAAGTACATTCATCTACTATTTTTTTCCACACTAGCTTTGGTTCATATGAGACATCTTTAGTTCATTAAAAATCAGATGGAAGAACAGTATGTGGGTGTGATACTGCTTTGAGAGGTGTGTGTGTTTTCTTTGTGTGTCCCTGCTCGATGAACACAGTGAAACATGTCAAATGATCTAAGTGGCACCTCAGATGAATTACACACTGAAAGCTAAAGTGCTGAGGCTTTGTACCAAAAACAAAATGCACAGTCATGTTTGACAGAATGAAGAAAGACAGATAACATCAGACCAGGAGGAACTTTCACACAGTTAACTTTTACCCGTCTGAAAAATCGATACTTTGTCGCCACCTGGTGGTCAGTCTGGGTCTGAAGTCATTGTTGGCTAATTTTCCAAGTAGGATTTCCACTGCAGGCACAAAGGCCTCTGTCATCACTCATCGCTCTGTTCACATTTCAGAGTTTTTGGAGAAAGTGATTATGTGAAACAAAGAGCAGATTAATGGCTCTGCACCAAATTTGACATAAAAACTGAACACAGAGCCAAAATATTTCACCAAAAAAGTCCAATAGTTGATGATGATGCTCCATTTATTTTCTCCTCTGTCGTTTACTTTATATTAAAGGCAAACATTTTTTACAAACACAGGAAATATGAGACAAATGAATCCCCAGTTAAAATCAATATGATAAATTCAAACTCATGTGAAAGATTGAGCCAAAGTAGAGTTATACTGACATCAGTTACCATGACTAGGTATCACCTGAATTGGTGCCAAGTATTTTATCAAATTTATATGGCGCATAGTTCAGTAGCTACCTTGAGTTCTGTTTTAACATCATTGACGTCTGGTTTTAAAAACACCAGAGTAAGGCAATCAGATATGGCTATGCACAGGTGTGGTGTCGGTGTTTGTGCATGCTCGTGCATGGATTATGTTTACATGTGTTCAAACTTTGTTCATGATTTACAACATAAAAATAAAGTTCGTCTGCGCTGTTTGGCTGAAGCCTCCACAGGCAACAAAAATGCATCTGCTGGCTTATAGTTTGTTTTTGTTTTGTTCTGAGAAAGTGATTTAAGAGGAATATTCACTCACTCATTGAAGTACAGACAGGTTAAATGTTAGTTTGCAAATGAGTATTGACATCAGTTTGAGTCGTAGTAAGATGGAAGAGGAGGCAGAGAAGGAAAGATGCAAAACAGATGTACGATTTTTTTTTTTTGTGATACCCCGCACATCCTCCATGTGATGTTATCGCCTCCACATTTTGTTTCAGTTCCTTGCTCAGGAGCATTTCAGCAGCTTAGGGGGTCGATTCTTGGGAGCCTTTCAGTCAGGGGAGCAATCCTAGTGACACCAGGCTGACCCTGCTGCTCAAGTAATGTCTCCTGCACAGATTGGGGTCACACGTAGATGCCTTCAGGGTTGAGGCTGGAGGACACGGTGCTTTGAAGGGTCCGAAGGTCGCTGGGTAGCAGACGAGAAGAGCCAAGTCGTTTCAGAGAACCAGAGTCCACTTCTGTAGCAAACAGCAAAACAAAAACAAAAGTATTTAGCCATCAAGGAAAAGAGACAGAGTCTGATTCAACAGTCAGACATGATATTTTTGCCATCTAGCACAATGATGCTCATGGATCTGTCGACCACTGTAAATAATTTCCGTAACTTTGTGTTGGTTCAGTGGCTGTAATGCTTGTAGGGATTTACAAAAGCTCTGCTTCAGTGACACAGTACAGAGTTTATTTTCAGATAACCTTACATCACACATTACGTTTATTTTTTACTTGCCCGACTGGACAACTGCATGAGGCATTCCACTTGCCCAAAAACAGAGTTTACTTGCCCCAGGAAAGCGTTAATGTTGAGCCCTAATACTAAGGGTGCTTTCAGACCTAGAGTTGTCTTGCTTTGGTCTGAATCAGGGACTAATCTTGTTACAAAGTTGCATAATTGCCTCATCGTGGACTATATTGCTGTCATTGTTCATTTTAGTCAAACCATACAGTTTGAAAATTAGGCGTGGCTCCAACTAGAAAACAATGTTTTGATGCAATGGATGTGCTGAATGTGCATATTAAGGCAGTACAGGAGGAGGTGCACATTAATAATCCTCCAGGACTGTAACATGCTCATGTTTAACCCAAACAATGTGTCATGTGACTGCAGTAGGTTTGGATCGAGGAACGCATTCTCACCACAAACAAACCGCACCAGTGTTTGTTTGTAACCAGACCGAGACCACCTCTTCGAGAAGGTCTCGGTCCGGTTGGTTTGGTGCACACCCAAGTACGATTGCTGTGTTCACACCTGCACAAACAAACCACACTTAGGGGGGAAAGTGTGGAGTTTTGCAGTCTATAGGAGTTTGGTTTCTGGTAATTCTCACGATATTCCATCACTTATTGGGCATGTTAGTCAGGGCATGAAAATGCACCTGCTGGTATCCTGGTTATTAATTTTCATGTAAATGAAGCCTCTGTCTGTTGATATATTCATTTATTTTTTTGGTGAACCCCCAAACTTTAAAGCTCAAACTCTATGTGCGCAATTATTAATGTACTTGATAACACAAACAGTTGCCACTATAGTAAATGCAATGATGTCAAACTGAACTAGGAGAGAACTGATAAATGAGTACTTTGTCACCCAAACGTTCTGGGGGATTTTTCTCAAAAAGGAATGAAAATAGGGATTTTCCTTTTGACTAACTGTGAAAGTCTTAAAGCATTTCAGGGCTGCTAGTGGTTTGGTCCATGTAATGGGGTTACAGACTTAAGCTGTTATGGCACTGTCTTGCCTCAACAGCTCAAGTCTACAGTTTATAGCATGTAATTCTCAGGATGACCACAGGGTGCCACTGTGTGCATACACATGTGAAAGCAATACTGCATGTAAAGCTCTTCAATCAAAATGTGGTTGGCTCTGAAATTGAACTTTTTAAGACGGTGATGGTAGTGTGGCAAGTCTGTGTTGGTGTGTACATGCACACTATGTGCATCTAGTGTCTATGTCTCTGTGAGTGTGTGTGTACGTGCCGTTGTTGTTTTCTCCTGTAGGTTGAGCTGGCAGCACAGTGACCTTGGTACCAGTCTGCTGAATGAACTGCTGCAGGTTGACCTGTCGTAGCTCTTTTGTCAGCTGCTCCAGCTCCTGCTCCTTCTCCTGTAATGGAAGAAAGACACCATGACAACTAAATTAAGTCTGTTCTAAGGCTGAAAAACACTCAATGAGCACTAAAATGAGATCTACCTTTAGAAATGTGTCTGATAGTACTGATGACATACGTGAATCCAGCTGCTGCACCTTATTTGAATCTTTTTCTGCATATTTGGTTTTAAAACATGAAAATCAATAAGGGATCTCACTGAGCTCAGGATCTCTCCAGAAGTCATAACCCAGTTGAGACAGCTAGAGAGAAGAGTTAGCTCCCAGATGGTTACGCAACTGTAGGCGAGGGATTGTGTACTTATTCAGGCCCCTCTCTAATCAGGCGAAGAATGCTGTAATACCCTCCCTCCCTTCCTTCCCCTTCTCATTACCTCATGCTTCCCACACCCTACTGGACTTCGCCTGCACATTGAGCACTTCACTTCATACAAGGATGCACGCGGCCAAGGATCCGCTGCACATCCCTGCAAGCCACAGATTAAACTTCGCTTCACTGCCCACAACTTAATGAGCTTAGATTTCTATGGTTCCACCTGTGTGCAGAGGACTGAATTTTCAAACGCTGCAACTTTCTTAATGAGAATTCTTTTAAAACATTTTTTAAAATAAACCTCTGTTGCAGGTATTCGGAAATGCCAAGGGTGCTTTTCAGTTCCTGGCAATTTCGAGACTTTGGTGTTAAAAAATCTAAATCGAAACACTAAATCTGAGCTGACCTGTAATCTCTTGCTGGACTGGCTAAGTGAGCGTTCCAGCGCCCTGCAGCTGCTCTCCAGCCGCGCCGTGTGTTGGCTCTGCATTTCAAGCTCTGCCTTCACTTTCTCCAGCTGGGCTTGCACCTGAAATCCAGAGTGGAAGTGAAGAGAGAAAAGCCAACGCTCATTACCAGTTTTCAGGAGAGGTGGGCAAAAGTTACTAATGCTTGTAGTAAATATGAGGAAGGGCTCCTTCATGCTTTAATGTGTTCAGAACTTCACAATAGTTCCTCTGGTATAAAAAAAACAATACAGTTGTACTATGTGAAGAATAACTTCACAGTCAGAAAAATCCTTGTTATTAGTCACACCTCTCTCCAAGGCTGTTAAATGAAAAGCAGTCAGCATCCTTTGTAACTGAGAGCGAGCACCTACATCTGCCACAACAGTGACAAACAAGAGACTGACTATGCTTGACCAGCATAATGTTGATTGAATACTGGAAAAAGAAAATAAATTTAGTATAACGTCCTATCTGTATGTTCCTACATTTCATTTGGACCAACCAGCTCCGTGACTAGCTTGCTGTTTGCAATTACTTTGTTAAGCTAACGTTACAAAGTACACAAATAGCTTAACCTAGCTTAACAGCTAGTTGTTGTTGGCCGTCCAGCTACACTGCATGGACCTGGTTGCTTCGTAGCAGATAAAATAATTTGCAAACCAACCCCATTCTGGATAAATTAGCTGACATTATCCCCTCAATACTGTATTTTACATCTGCTAGCTAGCAAAATGTCCACATTAAGCAGTGTTTACACTATGAGCGACACAGTAATGGGCTACAGTCATTTTTAATGCCCAACACTTGTTGCTGTGGATGAGTGTGACGTGCTAAAAATAAAAGCTGAGCTACCTTCAACTTCTGCCCCAATGACGCAGTGAAGCGTCAACCAGTCATTTTTATTATATGTTTCTAGCTGTTAGCTGGCGCTGTGCTAGCTTTATGTGCATTGCAGTGCACCTGGGGTTGTAATGGGGCAGCAAAATGGGATGTTAATGGGCCTCAGACATTGTCTAAAATATATTTTTTGATGGCAAGTTGCAGACACATACAAGCGACAATGCACACAGCTATCCTTTAGCTTCACCCCCCAGCCACAGATTGTGAAGATGTGTCTCTTGGCTGCCGCTGCAAAATGTATATGGGTTGGTGTTGGTTGGTTGTTTATGTTGGTGGACTCCATTTCTTAGCTAATGTTAGCTATGTTAGCTGAAGAGAGATGCAGCACGCTGTTGGGAAAAGTCTGCCTAGAGGGCTTTCTGCCAGAAAGGGATTATTGTGGTTAAGGTCCATCACATCATTTTGATTTTCCCATTAAATTCAGCCAGTGTTCCTTACAGATAAGTCAGTCCATAGGCTATAAAAAGCAATGGAGAAAGTCGGCAAAGTTCTCAGTTTCTAAGCTGGTTACAATTTGTTTACCCATTGGCAATATAAAAATGATTAATGCATGTAAAAAGTTACATACAGTACCTTGAAGTATTATTTTTGTTTGTATGACAGACACTGAGAGACCTGAAGGACATGTCAGCAGCTTGACAAACTACACTCCTCTCTGCTTGCATGATGCTGAGTGTGTTTTGTACAACATGATGAATTAGATTATACCTCCTCCTCACTGACCCTCTGGTTGAGCTCGGCCTCCTGCTGCAGCCGCTCCTGCTCCAGGCCTCCCTCCAGGCTCTACAGAACATGACAGATAATGAATAATATGGAACATAATCTTCACAGAAAACCAAATTAATTACACTTTTCAATTCCAAGTTTTCATGCTGTTTATAAACCCAGTAAAACAGCATCCAGCATGAACCAGGTAGCCTCCCTATAACTCCGAGCTCACCTGTATGTGTGCCAAGTACTCTGAAAGCTTGGCTTCACAGTCACGTACACGGCCCTGCAGCTCGACTAGCTGTTGCCGAAGTTGCCGCTCGCTCTCATGCTCAATCTGCAGCTCGTTCTGCCAGAATTCCTCCTCCTCCATCTCTGCATCGTTCCTCCTCACCTGCTGCTCTAAAAGCAGCAGCTCCTCCTCCAAGTTTCCTCCCTGGTAATGAGAAATGATTCCATTTGAGAATTCTCTGGCCCCAAAGAGAATATAAAATACTTATTAAAGAAAACGGTAAGGGAATGAAAGATGATGCAGGGATGTACCTGGCCTTTCACACTTATAGACTCAAAAGATGGAACAGAGACAGGCTGCTATTAATTATGAATTAGACCTAGTGTTGTGGCCCACAGCCACCTACAGAGATTTAAAATGAACAATGTTTTTTTTTTCGTCTTTTTTTTTAATGAAACACAGAGTTCACTCCAGTGCCTGCAGAGCAACACAGCAATACAGTGTTCTGCAGAGAGAAGCTGCAACTGCCCATAGCAAGTAAGATTTAGGTGTTTTTGCTTTTTTAACAATGAATTGTTATTTATTTGATGATGACATAATGATGACATGCTGATGACATGCTGATGTCATGATGATGACATTTTTCAAATGAACAATATTGTAAGTAGTGTGGCGGCTACGTCAGAAAAACTGACTATCCAGTTGGAGCAGTGTATAAAAGATCACAGACATGATGATAACATGTTGATAATGACATGATGAAGACATGATGACGACATGCTGATGAAATGATTATGAGATGATGATGACATGATGATGACATGATGACGACATGATGACATGTTGATGAGATAATGATGACATTTTGATGACATGATGACATGATATTGACATTTTGATGACATGATGATGGCATGATATGATGACAACATGATGTTCATATTTTGATGACATGATGATGACATGATGATGACAATTTAATGACATGATGATGACATAATGACATGATGATGACATAATGATGACACTTTTTTTTGTAAATGAACAATATTGTGCATAGTGTGGCAGCTACGTCAGAGTGAGAGTAGGATATTATACGAAGTGTAGCCATATACTAACCGTGTATGAGAATATACTGTGTCCATCTCTATATCAATCGTTGCTTATGAACGGCAGTCAAACTGTCAAACTGCTGTTTAGCTGTAAATGACCCAGCTGCAATGTTGAAAACAGTTGAGCCAAAACCAGGCACTGCCCATCATACAGAGCAAGTGATCCCATTTTACAGCTAAACACTGACTAAAATATATTTTTGAAATATCTGAGGTGAGAAATAGGCAATGCAATTAGAAACTCTGATCAGTGCTGTCTAGTTTCTGTCTAGGATTCACGAGCTGTGACTGACATGATTGACAGTTGCATTATAGACTCCTCAGGTCTGATTGGTTGTTTTCATTGAGCCAAGGTGGATTCTTGCAAATGCCATTAGAAGTGAGGAGTCAGAGTAAAAGGATTTTTCCCCTCAGACTATCTGTCTTATGTACTACTGTCTGAACATAGTGACAGTTTCATCAAATATGACAAAACCTTATTTAATTAAAGCTATCAGCTACAGCTGTAATAGATTTGTGAGGGTGTTCAGAGTGCAGGTGTTCTAGATCTGCACACATCATCGTTTCCTGTAAGTAACAGCACTGGCAGCTGTGGTTTTACTCACTTTGTTGGCTTCGCCGCCGGTCTCCTCCCAGTCTCGCAGTTCGGCCTCGCAGCCCAGCAGACGGCTCTCCAGGGCCTGGAGTTTGTCTCTCTGCAGCTGCACCAGTCGGCTCAGCTCTCTGGCTGGACTCCCAGGTACAGATGCTACTCCAACACCTCCAACCCTGCTCAGGTTCAGACTCACCCCCTGCTGCTGTAGCTGTTTGGCTGGATGGATGGATTAATGGGTGGATGGGAGATGAAAGGATTAGATTGTTGACAAATGCAAGCATAGAAGGAGGGAGGGAAAGAGAATGAGAACAGTACGTACACAACCAATAACACAACTATCACCCACAGCAGTAATAGCTTAAATATACTGAACAACATAAAACACACTACCTTCAGCATCTCTGCTTTTCCCAAATATGTCCCTCAGACCCTTGGCCCCTCCAGTGAAGGTCAAAGACTTGCGTTTGGGTTCCCTTCGTTTGAGTGAGCGGTCTGTCCCTGACGGGCGGAGCTTGGCCAGAGGTGGCAGGCTCTGCCGATAGAAACCACGCTCCGGGACGCGAGCCTGCCCGTCAGAGGTGGGCCGTTCGCTAACAGATGGGCCTGTTCGTTGGAGGATGAGCTGGACATCACTGGCATACTGACCCCACTTGTTGAGGGACACCACAGGATTCTCGTGTGGGGCCAGGTGACGTTCTGTCTCACGCCATTTTTCGATCAAAGTGTACCTGCCGGTGCGCCCTGGGACAAAGTGAAAAATGTGATGCATTTGGTGTTTAATTACAGAAATATTCCTGACAATTTATCGTAGAAGCCCTGAAAACATATTTTCTCAATCACTTTCTTACTGTGGGTGATGGATCACACATGACCACAAAATAATCTGACAAACACGTTTGATTATTTCACAACAGATTTTTTGTATTTCCTTGTTTTCTCTGTCCTTTTCTCCCTTTTTAAAGTGGACGGAGCTCAGCTGGAAATGGGTGATGTCATAAACTTTAATGCACCAATCAGGATTAAACATTCAGACAATCAGAATGCGATGAAAGCTTTTGGGTTGTTTTGTTGTTTTTACTGGCCTGACTGTTCAATTTTAAATCTAATTTATTTCAGCTTTGCTTTCAATTAATTGCATAGAGAAATGGTTTCAACAGGGAAGATGCCTTTGAAGGGACTCCCCATTGTTCCCACAGCCCCAGATTCTGAAGCCCCGTTAGTCTGAAAAATGTCTCACTGGACCAAAAACCCATTTCTCCAACAGCCCGTTATCCCAAAAACAAACACTCACTCCTCCAAAGTCTCATTCCTTAGAAAATACACACTCTGTGGTTGAACAACCCAATCACCAAAAAAGAGCATTGTACATTTTTGTAATTCAAAGATATGTGAATGATATGTTGACAACATGAACGATATGTTCAAAACTTCACATTTCAACAATGCTGTGGTGACTCTGTGGTTAGGTTTAGGCCAGGGGTCGACAACCTTTACTATATTAAGAGCCATATTTGGCCAAATAAATAAATAAGTAATCTTTCAAGAGCCACATAACATATTTGAGCCTTATAATGTAAGTAACACAGCCTATTGGGTCTTAATTAGCCTGTTAATATTATTAATTGGTCTAAATGAGCATCCATTGATATGTTTTACCATGATGTAACTACTCCTAGTGGGCTATCTATAATAATTTGGTACTTTAACTTTGCAGCATTGGCAATGAAAGTAAACAAATCTGTCCACAAACAATTAAGTTTTCTATTTTACAGCAAACATTTTTTTTCTATTTGGCAGCCATATCTAGCCTAGCTAGGGAGACTAAAGTTATGGTTAGAAAATGATCATGTTTTGGCTTCTAACAGAATGGGCTCAGTGGCTGAAACGCCACTGGGAAATGCTGGGAAGGGCTGGTAAAAAATACCCGTTATAAGTGGCTCAAACGCTGCTGGAAAACTGAAACTGGCTTCATTGAGTGTGTATTATTTGAGAACCAAGACTTCAGAGCAGTAGCCATTTTTGGGGGGGGATAATAGGCTGTTGGGCTTTTGGCTTCATAGGACTGTTTTTCTGAATTTACAGGGCTTTGGAATTTTGGGCCATCTGAACAATGGTATGGCACTACCTTAGACTGATTCAGCTCCCACTTGTTCAATAAAACTTTCCGTTGTAGTAGGTATTGCTCTCTCCTTGGGAGGTCCTTCTGACCTGTTGTGTTCCCCAAGGATGTATTCTTGGCCCCCTTTCACACATGAGTCACAAACACAGTTCTCTCTCATTGTTAGACTGACTACACCCAGATTTATGGCCTGTAACGTGACTTGCATCATTTAATTGTCTCATACTATTAGTGTTTGTTGTTGTCATGGTGCAAACTCCCAGTGGTAAGAAGTTAACTTGAGCACGCTTTAAAAAAATCAGCTCAAAGTGTATTGCAACTAGGAGAGGAAATAGAGAACAGATACAGTAAATTCTTTCACAACTCTCCCACACTTGTGCAGCATCGGTACTTTCAAAGAACTTTTACCAGCATGTTTGTTGAAAGAATTTAACAGTGGGAAAATTCAGCTCAACAAACACTGATTGTGTTGGGAAAAGGGCTGCGTTCAATGGTTCCCAGCTGTGTGTGTGTGTGTGTGTGTGTGTGTACGCCTACATTCGTGTTTGTGCACATATAGATAAGAGTAAAACACTGCCCATCGTACCCTCACAGTAAGGGTCCTTGTAAAAGAGTCACATTCATCACTACAGCCATTCACATCAAAGCACCCAGACCTGGACAAAAGGCACGGAGAACACAAAGGACAGTGAACACCATAACTCCTACTACACTGTCACCATGAAAGACATGTGTTTTAACTCTGGGTTGGTGAGAAATCCCTGTAGAAATCTGTCCATTTTAACACATCTTTCTGTTTAATGAAATCATATTCTTGTGGTCTTGGATTCACAGCTATATGCACTATACAACCTATACAATGAGTACCCGAATCAGTGTCAACTTATTTCTCTGCAATTGTACAGCAGGTAAATAAACCAAAGTCTGCAGCATGACTCATCTCGTTGTGTGCATTCCATTTATGATGAAAATCTCTTTGTGCCCTCTAGTCACTTTTCATTTTACTGCAATTTATCATCTCCAGTATGTCTGACAACCTGCCTTGCCAATATTGGACACAACCCACACAGCAGAAAATCCCCATAGGGATTTGTGAGGGCCTAAATATCATTTACACCACCTTGGTTTAAGTTCTTTCAGCACATGAACCAGATGGAGAGGATTTCATCTTAAAGTGTTAGATCTGTTCTTCTTGGCGGGCTCTTTGTCATGTTATTAGTTGGCCATTTGGATTTTCAAAGACTTTTTGGGTATACATATTGGGCTGTGAATCGCCTATCATATAACCAATAAGATTTCACAGCCACTGCTCATATTCTTGTGATATTCAATCTTTTTTGATCATCTACCAACACAAGAGATGAGTGCACTGTCTTTCATATTGTATTAAGTTGTTTTGAGCTTACCAATGGCTTGCGCCAAAGCAATGACCACTTCCTGGCATGTGGTGAACTCTGTAACCCCGCACACGATGCGCTGCACTCCATCCACCCACACTTTCAGCTCCATGGCCTTCATTCAGAGGCCCTCATTCCTCCACACCACAAAGGGGTGCTAATAATGTTCAACTGTCCATCCTTAAAAGGAACAAAAAAACACAATGTTAGTGCAGTCTATGTTACACACTTGCATCAAAGACATAACTCTTAAAACAAAAACCTTTACACTGCACTGGAACTAACATATCAACCATATCAAATTTAACGTGTCAACTGTGTGTTTAGAGTAGGCCTGGGAAATAGAGCCTTTGAATAATATAACAATATTTTTAGACTATATTGCGATACACAATATATATCTCAATATTTTGAAATCTCCTCTAAACTTCTAACTATGAAACTACTATAATAAATAAAAGTACTGTTACAATAAAGTTAAATAAACTACTGTTACAATAAAGTTACATAAAGTACTGTTACAATAAAGGAAAATCAAGTACTGTTATAATGAAGTTAAATAAACTACAGTGACATAAAGTTAAATAAAGTACTGTTACTATAAAGTTAAATAAAGTACCGTGACAATAAAGTTAAATAAAATACTGTTTTAATAAAGTACAGTACTGTTATAATGTAATAAACTACTGTAACAATAAAGTTAAATAAAGTACTGTTTTTAGTAAAGTAAAATATAGTACTGTTACAATAAAGGTAAATAAAGCACTGTAATAATGAAGTACTGTTATCATGAAGTTAAACAAAGTACAAATAATGAAGCTACAAAAAACTACTGGGACAATAAAGTTAAATACAGTACTATTACAATGTAGTTAAATAAAGTACCATTTTTAGTAAAGTAAAATAAAGTACTGTTACAATAAAGGTAAATAAAGCACTGTTATAATGAAGTACTGTTATAATGAAGTTAAACAAAGTACAAATAATGAAGCTACAAAAAACTACTGGGACACTGAAGTTAAATACAGTACTATTACAATGTAGTTAAATAAACTGCTGTGACAATAACATAAAATAAACTACTGTGACAATTAAGTTAAATAAAGTACTGTTACAATAAAGTAAAATAAACTATTGTAACAATTAAGTTAAATAAAGTACTGTTATACTGAATAAGAAAGAAGAAAATTGAAATAGTCCTATTATATTACTATTATTATTATATATTATATTAAATAAATTTATTGTAATAAAGTTAAAGCAGTGCTATAATCAAGTGAAATAAAGTTCTGTCATTAAAAAAGTTTAAAAAAAAAGTACTGTTATAGTGAAATAAATCAAAGTGAAATCACTGGTGCTTTTATTCTGAAGCAGGAAGTGTTGATGTTTTCACTGTGAACTTGAAGCTTCCAGTCAAATGTCAGATGTTAGCATTTAGTGGAAAATTAAAGCGTCACAGCTGCACTATTAAATGTGACATTTTATTCACTGTGAGCAGTAAACAAATTAACAGTTCATATATATTCATAACATTTGAAAGTCGCATTGGTGCTCCATGGTTGCAAAATACAACTAAATGGTTGTGGTCTGGAGCCCTGCAGATAGGAAAACACACGCCTGCTAACACACTATCACACAGAAGAGAGTGGTCTGGATGGGCAGGGGAGTGCATGTGATGTATCATGTTTGTGAGTCCTATTTTTCTATTAGTTTCTGTGAGAAGAACAGAGCCATAGGAGAGAGTGAGAGAACCGAAACGCCAAAGTATCATGCCATTGGCTTAAAAAAATGACATGAAAATGTATAGTCATTTCAAGTCTAATCGATACATGGCCCACCCCTAGTTTACAGCATGCCCCCTAGTGGTCAGTAAATGCCAGTTAACTCATATTGTTTACTTTGGCTGTGGAATTTTGTAGAATAATAACAATCATGTTGCCACAAAATGATTTAGCTATAACTTGATATTCCCAGCCTTTTATTTCCAACCTCATGTTTTAATCAATAATTTCCAGCACTTCCCAGAATGACTTTACAACCACTTGACAACATGGTTACTACGACATGGAAGGAAAGAGCTAAAATCTTAAAAATATCAACCAAGCACCACATGATTGAGCAGCACGGCACCAGCTTCCTGTAAACGAACAACTTGCACCAATTTACAACACTTGTTTTTCTGAAGTAGTTTCCTGTAACACTGCTGATAAATTGCTTCAAGAGCACACTTGTGGTGCAGTGATTGTGACTGGCTAACAGGCCTCATCTAATATATTTTTCATTTGCCGGTGTCGGTGCAGGAAAGCTCACAGCGGTCGCATGCACGCAGAACGAGAGCCATTTTCAAACTGCTGACACAAGCACCTCAGCAGCGAGGCAGTCATTACGAACCTGGCAAGGCCACGACAGCGGGCCAGTGCAACAGAGCAGTGAAGGAGCTGGTGCCTAATGCTCAGACTATTGCAACCCCACTGGGCAGCAGCCCTGCTTTTTCCCGACGGGGTCATCAGCTCAGCTCTGATCCTTGACTTCCATATCACTTGAGGCCTCCCTTAACAATTTAGGTCGCCTTCCATCTTCATCACAGCTGGGATGGGACTCCCATCCCTCCTGCAATTTAACTACCAGTCCCCTTCAGGCCTTTTTCCTACTGAGACTGCATTACATTGCACACTCCTCTGCACTGAGGGCATCTGGTAAGGGCAAGGCCTGCCTTCAGTGGGGAATGGGATGATTTGTAACAGCAGACAGATGCTGCAGGATGGATCTGCTTCAGACGCCTCTCACAGTCTAGTAAATGAGACTGTGCCCATGAACACAGCTCAGCTTAATGGGGCAAGAAAGAAGAGAAATTAGAGAAAAAAGGGGGAATGAAGGTGAAACAGTGGAGGGATGGATGGATAAGCAAAGCAAAGAAAGACGTTTGGGATTGCCATGAGGATGCGTGCAAACACTATCAGGCTGAAAAAGCCATGGAACAATATTTATTTTGTTGGTGGATCAGGCAGGAAGTCAGGACAGGAAACATCATGCTTACTGTAAGATGATCTACTCACCAATAGGTCAGTTGAGTGAAACAATTCCTAATCTGAATGCACGGTTCATTAGAAAAGTTTGACCTGAACAGTGTCTGTGCGTTCCAATACCCACACTACCATACTATATAGTATGCCAGAAAAAGATTTAGTATGTCCCAGTACATAGTATGTCAAATGCAGAATGCCAAAAATACCAGGATGTTCTACTACATCCGGTCCGATTGTGCAGTATGCAAGCCTGCATGCTTTTCTGGCCATTCTGACCCACAATCCTCTGCACAGCGGATGATTTGTCATATTGACTGAGCTGCGAACAGATGAAAGGTGATTGACAGCTGTCGCAATGTCGAGTGTCGAGAATAGGAATATTGATTGTTCAAGTGAATGAAATAATCATCAAACGGTGCGGTTACATGATGGCTTCTCATTCTGAATGAAATAAATCTGAATGAAATCAGGGAGTTTTTCCATGTAGTTTACATGGGAAATATTCATTCCAAATGAGGGTTTACACAAGAGATCAGTTTAATTGCCTTTATTCGGGTCCGCGCAAGGTTTGGGGCAGGGAAGGTTTCTGATTGGATAGGGGGCGAGGCGGATGTTACGTGTTTACGTTTACCGGAAGAAAACGCAGTAATCCTCGCTCCGGATAACAAGATGCTTGACAACGCCATTCTTAGTGCCTTTTTAGGGAGATGGGAGGTAGTAGGTCGAAGCAGGGAGATAGCTGACCGTGCTGTGGCGAATGGAAACAGGTGAGTGCAACGAGTCCGACTGCTCTATCTCAGCCCATTGCTATGCTCGCTATATACGTCATTGCGCCAGAAGGGCAAGGAAACGAGCATGCGCAGAAAGACTGGAATGAACTTAAAGAGGAATGGGTGTATACAAGGGCAAGAAATTCTTTCATTCGGAGTTAGAAACAGAATATTCCAGCCCCTTACATCGGATTGAATTTTCAATCGCATTGGCCATTTTCATTCCGAATTAGGTGTTTACAAGATCACTTTTAATAGGAATGAACTTTCATTCTGAATGGAAAGGGAATTAAACTGTCCATGTAGACGTACTCAATACCACAAATAGGACATATGCAGATGTAATTTCACTGTCACAACTATGTTAGAATCTACAATCTGTGCTGTTGTAACTTTAAAGTTAAACTACATACATCGCAAAGTAACATCAGCAGAGCTCTCTGAGTTGATCTCCGTCTCTGGCGAACTCAGTGAGTGGCGTTTGTTTTATTCCCAAGGTAACGATTATAAAAGCAAGAGGGTCAAAGTTCAGGGCGTAGTGTTATGAGACAGCAGTTTTCCTGATTGTGTGCATACTGCATGCAACAGTACGTATTTTTTACGTCCTCTCCTGTGTGCCAAGCATGAACTCCCGGTTAGAATTCCTTTGGTGTTCATTGCTCAAGAGGTTATAATCAGGGGCCGAGTTATCTGGGGAGGTCTCTTCCTCTCCAAAACAAATAGACCTGTTGGTTTAAGATGGAATAAACAGAAAAAAAGCTGTTTAACGTTTAAAATCTAAGCGTTTCCTACACTGTTTGGCTCGTCCTGGAGGGACAGCTAACTACAGTGGGTGACACAAAAACCCAAATGGCCCTATCTAGAACCAGTGCTTGGGTTGTCTGTTCTGGGCTACTGTAGAAACAGTGGACAAGGATTTGCTCCCTATGTAGACATAAACAGCTCATGATAAAGTAACAAAAACACAATAATTCTTATTTTAAGGTGATTATGCACTGAAGAAAACATTACTGCAATCCGTTTCTGCCAATACATTCTCACAAATCCTTCACACTGGACCTTTAAATTTGCAGTCAGCAGCTTAACAAAAGGTCTGTGACATAACACACAATATCCTAGCAGATGATGTGATGACGCCTTTAAATTATCACAGCTGCTGCTGAAATGTTGTAATACGGTGTTTATTCAATGACGGGTGATACTGAAGTCACACCAGGAGGAAGAGCCAGTGTTGACACGAGCTTGTAAATCTGCGCCCTCCCTCTATCTCTTTCTCACACATGGATAAACACACTCTACACAAACACACTCGCTACGTGCACAGCTACACGAGAAATCGAACTGAAGTCATTTGCTCCTCTGTGATACAATCATCATGAATGTA